CCCACTGCGCTGCTCAGGAAGGTTTTGCATCGTGTCTGTACTTTTTGGGTTCCTTTTACTGTCACTCCCCACGTGTGTCTGAGCTTTCAGTCCAGAAATGAGTTTGCTGCCGGTGGCTCCGTGCACTTACCTGCCTCATCGCAACCTGACACTTCAGAGGTGACAGCTTCTGAAGCAAATGCCATTTGTATTATTTTTATTACTTTATTTATTTATTAAGGATCATTTATTTTGAGAGAGAGCACGTGCATGCGTACACACATGTGGGAGACAGGCAGAGAAAAGAGAGAATCCCAAACAGGCTCCACGCTGTCAGGACAGAGCTGGACTCGGAAATTGATCTCACAAAGCATGACTGCATGACCTGAGCCGAATAAAAGACTCAGACTCTTAACCGATTGAGCCACCCAGGTGCCCTATTTTATTTTTTTAATGTTTTATTTGTTTTTGAGAAAGAGAGAGAGAGTATGAGCAGGGGAGGGGCAGAGAGAGAGGGGGAGACACAGAATCTGAAGCAAGCTCCAGGCTCCAAGCTGTCAGCACAGAGCCGACGTGGAGCTCAGACTCACAAACTGTAACCGTGAGATCGTGACCTGAGCGGAAGTTGGACACTTAACCGGTTGACTGAACCACCCAGGCGCCCTGCAAATGCCATTTTTAAAAGCCTGTTGTGGGAGCTCCTGGGTTTCTCAGCTGGTGAAGTGTCTGACTCTTGATTTCGGCTCAGGTTATAGTCTTATGGTTCGTGGGTTTGAGTCCCGCATTGGGCTCTGTGCTGACAGCGCGGAGCCTGCTTGGGATTGTCTCTCTGCCTCTCCCCCCACAAATAAATAAATAAACTTAAAAACTAAAAAAAAAAAATTTTTTTTAATCTGTATTTAATTTTGAGAGACAGAGACAGAGTGCGAGCAGGGGAGGAACAGAGAGAGAGGGAGACAGAATCCGAAGCAGGCTCCAGGCTCTGAGCTGTCAGCACAGCACGATGCGGGGCTTGAACTCACAAACTGCGAGTTCATGACTTGAGCTGAAGTCGGACGCTTAACCGACTGAGCCACCCAGGTGTCCCTAAAAAAATTTTTTTTTTTAGGAATGAAAAAATACAGGGGCACCTGAGTGGCTTGGTCAGTTGAGTGTCCAACTTTGACTTAGGTCATGATCTCACGGTTCGTGGGATTGGCCCCACATCGGGCTCTGCACTCTTGGTGAGGAGCCTGCTTAGGATTCTCGCTCTCTCCTCCTCCTCTCTCTGACCCTCCCTTGCTTGTGCTTTCTCTCTCTCTCTCTCTCTCTCTCTCTCTCAAAGACGGAAACTTAAAAAAACAGATGCATTTAAAAAAAGTTTCTTCTGAAACCCTGTACTTCTCAAAGGTAGATGTTGCCTTATTTTGGCACAAAATTATTATCTGATGCCCTCCAGCATCATCAGCAAACTTCATGTGTCTGCTGATGAAGTTAGGGCTGCTGTGGGTGGAGGTAATTAATTTCTAGAGGTACCCCGCATTTTGATGGGAAGAAGGTCTGACACTAAGTATCAACTACTTTTAGAAGAACCATCATTCCAAAGACACTCCCCAGTGTTTGCTCTTTGGCACATCTGCCTTTAGGTAAGGAGATGACATCATCCCTAGATGATGTTCCCTAGATTTTATTTTGCTATTGGTTTCAGTTGGCTTGACTTAGAATAGAGACCTTCAGGGGCCCCTGGGTGGCTCAGTCGGTTAAGCGTCTGACTTTGG